TATTATTATTATTATTATTATTATTATTATTATTATTATTATTATTACCTTTTGTTTTCCTCCATTGCCAGTCACTGCTTTTGAGGGGGTTTAGGGCTTTTCCGCTCCTAACCTTGGCTGTGCCTGCTTCTCTGCTAGCGTTCTGCCTCAGCTCGGCCACCTAAGCAGCCATGATTCTGCCCCTTCCCAACCAACCAGCCAGCCAGCACCACCCTGCTTGTTCCCTGCCTTGGCTCAGCCTACAATGTTTTTCTACAATGTTTTTCTACAATGTTTTTCCTACAATGTTTTTTAAAAATGGTTGCAGAGTAACATAATGATTGTAGGTGTGTACAGCAGTGTTAAGGTGTTATTTACTAGTACTAACAGATGTATTATAGGGAGATGTATTATAGGGGCAGCCATTTTCAATCAATGAAATTTTAGCAATTAATACCAAACTGTAATAAATATAACCCTTCTTTAGAAAGAAGAAAAATAAATAAAGCTAATACAGTTCCTAGCACAACTCAGTACATTTAATTGACATATATGCTGAGAATTTTAGCAAGTCTCAAATATTCAAAACAATATATGGTTTATATAAAGACTACTGGCTCCTCCAACAAGCAAAATGTTCCTGATAGAATCAGTGAGACCCGTTTGGAAAATGACCTGACATGATACATTCTTTTTGTGGGAACTAGCAAAAGAAAACTTAATATGAAAAGATTCCAGCTACATCAAAAGATGTAATGTTATATCCTTCCAGTTATTTTTAGCTATGTCATATCATTTATAAATTATCTGCTTTTTTTCTTGATAAAAAAGCACATTTCTAACATTTTAACAATTCTCTATACACTAAAGTGATTATATTGTGCAGTTATTATATGCAGTCCTATATGAGTCCTTCTGTATTCCAATTCACAGCTTATGAGTTAATTTATCATAAACCATCTTGGCATAAAAGCCCACACCCATTCCCAACTTCAGGTTCATTCCCAAAGATGTGCTTTTCATTAGCAGGACTTGCAGACAGACAAAAACATTCTTTTCACCACCATGGTGCCCAAGCAAGGGGTGCAAATATACTTTTACTTCATCTGCTGAAGAATAAGTATGTCTTAGTTGTCTGTCAATCATAATTCTCTGCTTGTTATCAAGCCAAAATTCACAAAAGCAATATATCTTCTATTTTAGTACAACCAAATACTCCATTAATCCTCAGAATTCATTAAAGCATAATGCAGGAAATTTGACTTCCAAAGAAGCTCCACTAAATAAATAAGAGCCACACAAATTCAGTTCATTAAAAAATAGAATTTTCATTGAAAATGATCCTATGGAATATATCCCTTGCATTTAATTCAATGTTACACCAAAATCTATAGTAATGATACTACTGAAACAACAAGTTAGAAATCAGAATATTGTTTAGCAATATTTATTTATCATTGTTATAAAAGCTCAGAGATCCCAAATGTTTCTACTTTTAATAAACAATAAACACATGTAGAAGCAAGTATTGTTATGAACGAAGGAACGATGCATATATTATTTGTCAAAGAATACATATCTATTAAACAACCATATTCTGGTAAAACTAGTCACTGCACCTATTATTTCTGGTCTAATATAATCTATATTATATTGTAGGAATTTAAAACCCACCCCTCTTCTAGAAAAATGAAATATTTTAGGAAATATTAAAAGGGCAGAATATTTCCCCTAAAGGGAGGCAGAAATTCACACACACCCCACATTTGTTAATGGGCCATTAAGGCTGGGCTAGTCTATTCTACATAACAAAGATCTACCTCCTTCAGGCAGAACCATTTAATTGCCCTTTATTGTATCACCCAGCAAGATTCAACCAAACTTAGCACACAGACAACCTATAAAGCTAGCTATGACCTCTGACAGCAACCAGTCAGGATATTCTTCCTGTACCTCAGAAAGTTCAAAGCCAGAGAGGGCATAAAACCCCGGGACTCTCAGCATCTCTTCCTTTTTTTTTTCACCCAAGACCTCCAAGGCATGTGATCCTGTTTATCACTAAACCTTTTTTCCAAGCAACTTCCATGATTCCAGTGTCTTTTTTCCCACTTGGAACTGAACCCAGAAGGATATATTGTTTCTTCCAACAATTTAAGGGAAGAAAAATGACCCAATAGCTCACGGCTTGTCTAGTAGTATTCTACTAAATCTCTTGGGTGTGTAAACTTTAACTGGGTGAAACAGGCATCTTACAGCAAAACTTTGTAACAAAGATCCCTTACTGGAGCTTACTTAATCTGTCCAAAATTCATCTATGATTCCTGTGGAATTGAAATTTGGCAAATTTTATAAGATAAATTCTTGACATAAAAATTATTATAAAACCTTTTATGACATAACACAAAATGTCATAAAATGTTACCTGTGGTCAAATTTATGATATTTGACTGTGCTATATAGTTCATAATGGGGTACTTCCAAAGTAATAAACCTCAAATATCTTCCTGAATTTTAAAGAACTTTTCAAGTACATTAGAAGCGGGCATTGAAGAATTTGCTCCACACTTATTGAAATAACTTTTCAAAATGAAATCATATCATATACTTGCCTCTAAGAACCACAACATATTTTTCTTGATTCCCTGTTGATTTAGGATTGCACATTGTACAAAGGAAAGAGAAATGCCACTGAGATTTTGTTATTTCATCTGAAAACAAAGCCTACAAGGAAGGCCAGAGAGATTGTGGCAGTCAGATAAAACTAACTTGATATAAATGGCTATCATATAGAAACCTCAAGGCAGCATGAAGTACTTAGCTTATCCTGTTTAAATTTTCCTTAGTTATTGTATTGTTCAGTAAGTTCAAAAGTTGTGGTGCTCCATCACTAGAGGCTTTCAAAAAGAGTGAGGGAAATATACCCCGAAAGGAACCACTAAAACAATGCAGAAAACTTAAAACAGCCATTCCCCCTTTAAAAAAAAGTCAACCCCAAAGCAAATGCAGCAGCTGAGAGGGAAACTAAGAGCAGCTGCTCATGTTAATTGAAAGCCTGGGCGTGCTGCCAAAAGCCATCAACCCTTCCAACTCTATTATTCTATGTTCTCTATGTTCTAAATTGGGTGCTTCACAGCAGAAGCAATAAAGCTGGCTGGACCACACATGCATTATATTCATGGCCTGTATGATCAAGCTGCACCACTGCCCTATCCTGTATCTTTTCCCCCCAGGAAGAAACAAGAAGTAACCAATACTGCAGCAGCTATAAAAGGTCTTGGGGAACTCAGGGAGTATCAGCTGATCACAGAAGTGTTACTTAATACTCTTTATAATGAAAATGTTTGTAATCTTGTCCTTCTTCCTGAAGGGAAGAGATTAATCCCATCCCTAGATGAGTGATTGATGGGTTTCCCTGCCCTAATCCTGTCAGTTTCTGTTGTTTATTGACTTGATTCAGCATGTATCAGCTGAATTCCAGTTGCAACTGTTAAGTGGTTCTTGGCTGTCTGCTGGAGCGATTAACTCAGTGATCCCCAACCTTTTTTACGCCGCGGCCCGGTATCCCCAACCTTTTTTATGGCGCGGC